CCCCCGGGGTTCACCTATATTTAGTGAAGCCTCATCCCTCTAGATAGTCATGAAGCCCTGAAGGAAACAACCCCCAGACTTTGAACACAGCAACTTGGAGATCGGGTCAACCATCGCCGCGGCATTGTTTTCATCGTTTTGTCGAAACATTTTGAATGTGTGCATGCTTTAAAAGATACACAGGCGTACGTGCACACACACTCTCCTGACTTACCCACTGAGACTTTGTAGGCGATCGGTACACACTGCAGATATCGGCTATCCGGTGGGAAAGCGTTGAAATCTCCCTGGTTCATTGTGCCGGATCCTTCTGTAGCGGCTGTATGTCCACATATCCTCTCTGTAGAGACGGGCAGAGAGGGAACTCGCATTCAGTCACACAGCTCTGTACTCCCTGCAAGGAGTAGGCGGGCACGGCAGCGAGAGACCCATTCAGAGTCTCAGAAAGTGCCAGCCTCCCTGTCTGCCTCCATGTCTGTCTGTCTGGGTTTCACCCTTCAATCTGGCCACCTTACCCCAAACCCGCCTGCCAATCCCCGGGTACCCTGTAAAAACCTCAGCCAACTGCTTTCTGATATTTACAAACTGGCTCCCCTGTCTGCCACCTCCTAGTCTGAGACTGTCAGGACCCCGCCACAATAAGGAGGCCATGTGGGTTTCCCATGGAGTCGCGTGTTCCTCCCGACTGGCAGTTAACAAGGCTTTGAATGAGGAATGTTAGCAAACAGAGCCGCTGAATGTCGGGTGAATGCAAAGCCAGGCAGCCAGTCAGATCGCAGCACTGGCCCAGGCATATGAATAATGCAGAAGACTCGACAGGGAGGAGAGGAGGGGAAGCTCCTCCTACCACTGCCCCTTCCAAACTCCACCCGCCCCTCCTTCTCTTACCCCCTAGGAACTAAAATGCCTTCACGGGAGCAAGAGAGCAGAGAGGGGGGGAGAGAGGATTCAAGATATCTGCTGCTACTCACTCAAGCAATAGCGCAAAAAAAGTCCTGCAAGAGGAGAGTTGTTACACGTGCAAAACACACATTATTACTACAAATCAGTTCTTGAAACATGCCACTCTTTTCCTGTCGTTGGGAACTATCTCACTCTCTTTTTGGCTTTTTGTGTCTTTTGTTTGGAATTGGCACCTGTCCCAGAAAAAGCTCCGTCCCTGCTCCGCCCTACTGCTCCCCTTTCACTGGAGACTGCCCACGAGAGAGAGAGAGAGAGAGAGAGAGAGAGAGAGAGAGAGAGAGAGAGAGAGAGAGAGAGAGAGAGAGAGAGGGGAGGAAGCGTGAGGAAGAGAGGGTGGGGCAGAAAACCCAAAAGAGGGAGTTCAGAGATGGTAAGGGTGAGGAAGGTAGAGGGCAGAGGAGATAAGAGCAAAGGGAAAACACATGAGGAAAATCAGCTGAAATCTAAATACACGCACAGGTAACATAAAATCAAGCAGCTGGTCGAACAACGTGCAAAAAAAAAAAACTAAAACGGAGGTCTTTATCCTCAACTTCACGAGAAAAAGGAAGCATGGCGAACCATCGAGAAGCACATGCTCGAAAAAAGCCTTGGCACTGCTGTAGAGCACAAACCAAAACCCCTGTTTCACCCCAGTCCAGTTTAACTCTACATACAAAAACCCAGAAGCAGCAAAAACTGACCAAATGCACGAGATCGGCGGCAACCGGCAAGTGAAGAAAACGGAGGTCCCGAAAAATGCCTTTGCAAATGGCGCGGCGATGTCGAAGTAGGAGTCATCAAAGCCACTTGTTGCACGATATTGAGGAGCAGATCTTGCAGAGAGAAGCTAGAGTAGGCAGGGGGTTAAAACCCCGGGACTGGGAGTAGTAAAAAATCCCTCCCTCTTTTGGCACAGACGAGCCAAAGGGGAGGGGCCCGCCTGTAATAGAAGCAGAGCGTTTTTCCCCTCTTTTTTTTTTTTCTAGAGCTGCAGCGTCCTAGTCTACCCTCTCGCATGTGGCCGGGACCCAGGGAGAGAGAAGGAGGAGAGCGATGGATAGAAAAAGAAGCTTGAGCTGGAGAGGGGAGGGAGTGAGAGAGAGAGAGAGGGAGGAGGGGAGGAGAGCTGTGAGTGGAGGAAAGAGGGCTCAGCTGATGATGAAACAGGGACGTGTGGGAGGGCGTGAGCACAACGCATTTTCATGACCGGTCTGGGCGACGTGCGCGTGCATGAGGCGGGTTGGGAGCTGAGAGGGGGGGGGGGGGGGGGGGGGGGGGGGGGGGCGGGGGGGAGTCCTGCAACAGAACTGATTAAGGCTTCCTGGGAAAAATTCTGGGAAAACTTGCAACACCTAACTTTTAGAAAAAAATGAAAAAAGATGCTAATACATTCTGGCGTGATCTTTGATGATGATCATCTTGATTACTCTCTGATTTTCTCCACCACAGACATGCTAACGAGTCCAAAAGCTACAATGACTGTTTTCTGGCACAAACTGAGAGTCAGATAAGCACCTGGGTGCGACTGCCCTGTCATGATTGCAACAGTGCACGATGCTGTTGCACCCTGTAATATTTACCGCAGTGCCCCCGCCATGTGCCAGCACCAGGCCGACCTTGCCGCGATCCGCAGCAATGGCGGCGTGCGGACAAGAAGAAGAACAAATGTTGGTCAGTAACCGAAGGATAAAATGGACTCTGCTGAAGACTCGTGTCCTGCTCTCCCCCTCCGCCTCCCCTTCAGTGTCCAGCCTATTCTGTCTCCCACCCTTTCTTGTCCTTTCAGTAGCGCTGTTATAGCCTATAGTAATAAACAGGCCGGCTCTGAACAGCTAGTGTTAATTCGAGCCTGCAGGAGGATCCTTTTTGTATTTTTCGTGCCAGATACCACCCCTGCTGTCCTTCTCCCTCCGCCTGTGTCATGCACACCTACCACCCTCTGCATCCGCCTGCTGAAGGTTATTCACACCCATCCGGTTTCTACCCAAAAAACTTCTCCGTGGCCAAAATGCTGTAATGCCCCATAGCTGTTTGCAACAGATTCCCCCATGGCAGAAAAACAACTTCCTCTCTTTTGGATGCCATTGCCTCCCCTTCAGTCTTCTCTTTCCCAAAAGAAACCCAGAACTCAGCACAGGCACATTTCCCCCCCCCCACCACCCCCTCCTCTCTCCTCAAAGTAGCAGCCGCACAAAAGAGAGGGGAAAAA